AGAACAAGCTCGGAAAAGGGGGATTCGGGACGGTCTACAAGGGCATCTGGAGAAACAAGGAAATAGCTGTTAAAAGGGTCTCCAAAAAATCCGGAGAGCAAGAATTTCTAGCAGAAGTTACAACAATCGGCTACCTGAATCACAAAAATCTGGTGAAGCTGATCGGATGGTCCTACGAAGGCAGAGAGCTCCTCCTTGTTTATGAGTACATGCCAAATGGGAGCCTGGACAAGTTCATATTTTCTGATGATAGCCGGGAGGAGTTGACACTCAACTGGGAAACAAGGCTTAGCATAATAAATGGCGTAGCCCAGGCACTAGAGTATCTCCACTACGGCTCTCAGAAAAGGGTGCTGCACCGGGACATAAAATCGAGCAACATCATGTTGGATTCAGAATTCAATGCCAAGTTAGGTGATTTTGGATTGGCCAGAACAGTTCAAGATAAGGGAAAAACCCACCATTCCACCCTAGAGATTGCTGGAACCCCTGGCTACATGGCGCCAGAGACTTTCTTGATCAGCAGGGCAACTGTGGAAACAGATGTTTATTCCTTTGGTGTTCTGCTACTGGAAGTTGTCTGTGGGAGAAAACCTGGGAACCAAAATGAAGAAGACACTTACAATAGAAGCATTGTGAATTGGATATGGGATCTTTACAAGGAGGGAAGGATAGTTGATGTTGCAGATCCCAGAATGGAAGGGAAGTTTGGGGAGAAAGAAATGGAGTGTGTTCTGATTCTGGGGTTGGCCTGTTGCCACCCAAACCCGAATTACAGGCCCTCTATGAAGATTGTTCTGCAGGTTCTTACAGGGGAGGTAGAGCCTCCTCAGGTGCCCCTTGAGAGGCCCTCGTTTGTTTGGCCAGCAATGCCTCCTTCCTTCAGTAAGTTGGAGTACTCCACGACAGGAAGTCAGCGTGCACCATTTTCAGAGCTTACAGGGAGATAAAATGTGTATATACCAAGGTAGAACAGCAAGCCTTTCAGCCCTGTTTATAGCATATTGGCTGGTATTATAGCATTTCTATTGTGTTAATTTAGATATAAGTTTTACCACCTTTTTTTGAAATAATATCAATGTCTAAATTGAAAATCTTTGGTGTTCTTTCTTTGTACAAAAACGTAAGTGTAAGTCTAGAAATAAAGGGCCATTTCTTAATGTAAATTAACAGATCGTCATCTGATGCATGAAAAAAGCATGTAATCTGAAAAATTCCAATATGTATCTTTCCAAGGGCATTTTTATCGAGTATTTAGAAAATGACTCCAGTTATGAACCAGTTATGAAGTTTTCTCATCAGTCAGCCATTGTAGAAATCCATGGACTTCAAAAAAGGGAAGAAAGAGAAAGGTTGAAGCTCATTCATTACCGGTCTACACTGTCAATTTCTTTGTTCCCAAATCATGGCACAAATTATGCACGATCTCCAGAAGTGGCCAATCATCCATTCCTTTCTTCATCTTATAGGCACTGTAACTGCACCAAACCAGAAGTCCTTCTTCAGTCCGTATCTGCACTCTGGATCGACCTGCAAAGCCCCGAGGTGGATCCTCGGGGTAGACACTCTGATGCTTAAGTTAGCAATAATCGAGGCTACCTTTAGAGCGGAGAAACAAGGAGCTTAGGGTTGGTTTCAATTACCTTTTTGCGTGGCCCTTAAGGGGGGTATTTATATGTTCCAACGAAGAACCCTCGCGGCATGCCAAGCGAAATATCCGGGATCCGATGTGTATCTCCAAGCAGTTATTTCGGGACTGGAAAATTAAGCCATGCAAGATATTCGGGATCTGATGTGAATCTCCAGTCGGTTATTTCGGGATCGGGAGATTAAGGTATATTTAGATGCAAGGATGTCCATCATAACTGCTGTGCAGCTATTCGAGCGGGAAGCTCTGGATTTACTCTTCACTTCGGTTGTAAAGGAACTGCTGTCGTACGTCCGAGGTTGGGCACCTCGGACCTGCTCTTACACTATTCCCCCCCGAAGTCATTCACTTGTGAATGATATTGTTGGAGATAATGGGGGAAGTGCATAGGTAGAAATGAAAGAGGATACAAATATGATATATGAGTTACAGAAGTAAAAATGGGAATAAAAACTAAAAATCTATACCGTAAAGGCATGCATAGCCGTAGTCGTAGCTAACAGGGAAATACGTGATAGGGGGTCATGTTGGCCATGCCCAAAAATAAAATAAAATAAAATAAAAGGTAATCGGATTGCTCGTGGCCGAGGTCGTGGTAAAAGAATGACCGGAGTCATAGCAAAATATGGGAGATGGGGTCGCTGTGGCGGTACCCGGAGTGAAACGTGTGATATTGGGTCGCTGAGGCCGAAGCCGTAGTAAAATATGTGACACTGGGTCACTGTGGCTATAGCCGAAGTAAAATATGTGACATTGGGTCACTGTGGCCGGAGCCGAAGTAAAACGTGTGACACTGGGTCATTGTGGCCGTAGCCGAAGTAAACTGTGACACTAGGTCACTGTGGCCGGAGCCGAAGTAAAATATGTGACACTGGGTCACTGTGGTCGGAGCCGAAGTAAAATGTGTGACACTGGGTCACTGTGGCTGTAGCCGAAGTAAATTGTAACACTGGGTCACTGTGGCCGTAGCCGAAGTAAAATGTGACACTGGGTCACTGTGGCCGTAGCCGAAGTAAAATATGTGACACTGGGTCACTGTGGCCGTAGCCGAAGTAAAATATGTGACACTGGGTCACTGTGGTCGGAGCCGAAGTAAAATATGTGACTGAAGGCATCAGGTCAGGTGCCGAAGTAAAATACTTGGTGCAAAATTTAAAATGGATAAAAGTGAGCAAGAGTGTTGAAATGGGCTTAAGCGGGCCCATCTGAGAAGTCTGACAAAAAGGTGGTGCGCGACACGACAGCTGTCCTCTGAATGACGTGCGTAATAAATGCCGTTGTAAAAAGATAAATGTAACAGCCCAACGGGCAGATGTAAAGAACGAACCGTCGAGTTCGAAACGGTACCGTTTGGGGTTAACCGTCGAATTCGAAACGGTGGCTTTGCAGCCGTTAGATGGGTTAATCATAGCCGTTGAGGCGTATTCTGCCTTTGGTATAAAAGGCTAGACTTTTGTAAAGAGGGATTTTTACTTTCACGATTTTGCTTCAAAATTCCTACTAAATTGCTACTAAATTTCTATGGTTTCGTGCGGTTTGCGCTTCAATCAAGACTTCAACAACAGTTTCCAAGACTGAAATTAGGTAAAGTTTATGAATTTTTTACTTTGATTTTGTTGAAGTGGTGCTCTCCTTTCTCCCTTTCTGTGGTTGATTTTGGGTTTTTTGGAGGAAATTAGGGTTGGGAGTGAGAATGTGTTGAGTGTGTTGGAATTGTTAAGGTTCCTGACATCGTTCCTCCTCCCCCTGTATGCAGAAATTGAGATGTCTTCAGAAGAGGCCAGGAGTGTAGTGGGGAGTGAAGTGATGCCCCTGGATTACGGTAGTATGGATACGGAGAGCAGTCCGTCTCCAACTAGTTCGGAGAGGACGGTGGAGGAGAGGAGGGATGAAGGAGTAGTAGAGGAGGAGGAAGAGGAGATCCCCTCAAACGTGTTGGAATCTGGGGGTGGCGTAGATGGGTGCTATGACCCGGACTTAGAGATAGTGTCTGAGGTGATGGGGTATGTGAGCGAACTAGGTAGTAGGAGTCAATGTAGTCAGTACCGTACCGTACCGGCCGGTACGGCCGGTACGTACCGGTTTTGGAGGTTAACCGAAACGGAATAAGTTAATATTTCGTTTCGGTCAAATTTCGGATGTACCGGTCAAATTTCGGGGTACCGGCCGAAAT